GTCTTAAAATCAATTTTCCCTAAAAGATTGCACAATATCCCCTTAAAAAATCTGAACCCTCAAAGACCAGGTGGTCTGTTAGAACCCGTAGGCGGGTAAATGCTTAACAAGGAAGAGAAGAAATTAATATAATTATGCAGACTCCCGATGGTCTCAAGCTAACTTCTTAAAACGTTAGAGTTTCTATATTGTATTAAAATTTTATTTAAATTTAAGTAGAAAATTTTTTATATGTGAGCCTCCGATCAGATTCCAAGCTAAACCAAAAATGATATGCAATTCACCAAAAAATTAAGAAAAGTTGGGAACCCTGATCGTAAATATATTAAATAAATACATATATAAATCAAATTAATTAAATAACTATCCATAGAGAAACTGCTTGTTTATTACAAAAAAAAAAAATTACATAAATTAGAAGTGGTCGAACACCACTTACCACAATCCTATATTATAATCCTAGGATCAACACAAGTTGACTTTGAGGGGGATACTACTTATCTTCATTTCTCCATCCTCTTCTTATTTTGACTCCTTGGATTCATCGTATCTAGATACCCAAATAAAAAAGAAAACTCTACCCTGATTTGGAGGCTATTCATTTCACTTTGGGTATTGAAGCAATCTAAATTTGAGCATTCTAAATAGAAAAGGGCCCTCCCCTAAGGGATGTCCTTTCCTCTTTGGAATCTAATTTTGAATCTATGTATCCCGACTCAAAGAATAACTTTCATAACTCTTAACTTTAAACAAATTACATCAACTTTAAAATGAAAGATCTAAATCTCTTGTAGGGTTATCCTAAGTATTTAAAATCAAATAAATCCAAGTAATTTATATATATGTGCAATAAAAAGCAAATCACACTTGGCCATGCTCTTATTTTTTTGGATGCTAAGTAGATGAAGCACATATAGTAATTATATTTATTTTTAATTTAGCCACATTTAGTTGCCTTGTATGTGTGTGGCCACCTAGAGAAAACTGAGTCAACAACCAGATTTTTCCTAACCTAAAGATAGTTTATTTCCCATCACATCAATTCACATATTGCATTTAAAGTAGATAAATATTCTCATCAATCAATTTTCAATCACAACATGCAAAGAAAACTAAAAAAATCTAGTACACAATAGTAAAACGTAAACACCAGCTTAGCCTAAACTTAGAGTTGGTTGTCATAGCAAACTATCTAAAGTGTGTGCAAAAGGCTATGTGTCTAGCCTAAACTGAGCAATTTGTTAAAGTTTTCTATTGTTCAAGTTTGTTAAAGGTCGAAGGGAAAATGTATGTTTGAGTTTAAGTATTAATTTATTAAAGCTTAACTCGGGTATGTTTTAATGGTTAAATGGTGACTACCTTTATTGCTCACTGAGGCCATAAAGTTTATATTACCTTTCTTAGGACTAAGCTAATAATGTCGTAGGCATATATTACTTAGTAGTTATTGGAGTTGATTAAGTTAATTTAATTGTTTGAGAGTTAAGGGTTGATAAACTTTAATTAAACATATAGATTGTTGGTTTGGATGCTTAAGCCAAATCTCTAGAATTTTGAGTGAATTATTAAAATTTGGAATTATTGAAATTATTTAATCATATAAATTAAGGGGCCAAAAGTTAAAATTTAAAATTAAAATAGTTTCTAGAATTTTAATATTTTTTTAAATATAAAATCTTAATATGAGTCATTAGATTTTAAGTTTGCTCAATTTGAAATTTTCTATATGATGTTATGATTTGTTTAATTTTTGGCCTAATTTAGAACTACAATTGACCGGAAAGTTGACTTTTTGACTTTGAAAAAATTTTTAAGTTTGAAATTTTTAGAAAATTCTAGATTTTAATTGGATTTGAATAAGATCAAGTTCAATTAAATTGGATTTTTATAATTAAAGGTGATTTTTTGAAGTTTAAGTATTTTTGAAATTTTAAAAATTGCTTAATTATATTTTGATCCAAATCTATCCCAAACCTCTTCGAACCACCCCCAAAGGTTAGAAATAACCCAAGGGGAGGTCTCCAAGTATTTAGGGATGTTTTGGAATTTTTTTGAATATTTTTAACTAATTAATTTAATTAATTATCAAGTTTTTTAAAAAATTAAGTTAATATTAAATTAAGGTTATGATCATAGGGATTTTAATTTTCTTTGATTAAGAATTAAATTTTGATCAGTTTAAGATATTACTTGTAGTTTTTGGAGTTAAGTTTGATTTATTGGAATTTTTAGAAGTCTAAAGGCTTAATTAAGGGTTTAATCTTAAATTAATTAATTAAGTGGCTTAATGATTTTTAAAATGAGTGAGAAATCTTTCTAAGATAGAGGATATCATCAAGTTTGAGTGTTCAAAGTTTCATTCCTAAAGGACATGTATTTTGATTTCTAAAATTAATCTTAATTTTCTAGATAAATATCATTAATTATTATCCATAGGTTTGAAATTGATGTCTCTAAGCCATGGAAAAACTAATATAAATTCACAAATAATCACAATCAAGTCCTTAAAACTATGAGAGTCTAGAACTAAGTGTGTGTGTCCATCCCCATTAAACAAGTAGAAGAATCAAATAATGGGTGATTAGAAATCTAACCACCCTTTGATCCATCCCCATTAATTATATTCAAACAAATCAAAGTTATATTTAAAATATCATGACTCACTTAGGGCTCTCAAAATTTAATAGAAATATAATTTAAAATTAATTATATATTTAAAAATAGTTCAATTTTATGATTTTCTAGAAAAATTAAGATAATTTCAAAATAATTTTAAAATATATATTTTTTTAAAAAAACACAATAATATGAAAAATTTTTAAAATAAATACTTAATTATTATTAGATATAATTAAATATATAGTTTATGCTTTAAATTATTCAAAAGATAATTTTAAAATTTCAAAGTTTAATAAATATTATTATTTTATATTTAAAAATTTTAATTTTTCAAAATTCAAAGTACTTTAATTTGAAATAAAAATATTCATTTTTAAAAATATTAAAATACATTTTGAATTTATTAAAGATTAAATATTAAATATTTAATCCAATTTTTTATTAAAGTAAAATCCAAGTATTTTCAAAATTTCATCAAATATTAAACTAAATCCATTTTAAAATTTTCACAAATATCTAATATATAGATTATATTTATTTTTTAAAATTAATTTAAATATAAAATTTCATTTTCTAAAACTTTTTTAACAATTAATTAATTAATTATAATTTTAAATACTTAAGATTAATCAATAAATAAAAAATTGATTATTAATTAATGTTTTATTTTCAAGTCTGATATATTTTATTTTAAAATTAAAAATCACTTTTTAAAACTTATAATTCTCAAATAATTTTAAAATACTTAAACATTTTAATAATTAATTAATATTTATTTCAAATAATTTTTTTGATAATTAATAATTTTTATGGCAAAACAACCTTGTATTCCTGCTGCATACCAAAGCATAAATGAAGTAGATAACCACTTCATTCGTGCAATTTTGCATCAAAGCTCAACACACTACAGTTCATCATATCTCTATAATAGACCAACCAAGCATATATCTATCTTTTCAAATCCTGCTGTCCTACACGAGATTTTCAGTATCTTCGCTCCAAGCTGGCAATTCACCACCACCATTGTCATCTTGACGGCCGGGGGGGGGGGGGGGGGGTATTAGCGATTACCGCATATTAGCTACTTACTCACTACTCTTGGTTAATAACTAACAAGTTTATGCTCTCTTACAAACCATTATGTCTGTCATATGATCCACCATCGTTAAGATGTATCTGCTTATTACACTGTATAATAAATGAACAGGAGCGGAGAAGGCACACTTTACCTTTACAATGTATTCCTATATGTCTGCTTCTTCTTCTTCCTGTGCAAGATACCGAAGAATGCAGCTACATCTTCAATGCTAAGAATATCCACTTTATTGCTGAAAAAAATAGTTGTATGTGATCCTAGCATTGTATATCTAATTGTAGCATGAAGAAAAAAAAGTTAGTTTGATTTTATAATTTTAAAATTCTTTAATAACAATTGTCAATATATTTTTTGTGCCATTTTTACCTTCAATGAAGCTTTGAGCATAATCAACTTACAAACCTTTTCAGCATTTTTTTAAAAATTAAATACATGCATTATTGTTGGCCAAAATCAAACTAGTGATATCATTCCCGTTGAATAAGTTCATTTTTAATTGTCACAATAATCTGCAAGAGATGATTGATGTACTAAAATTTTACTATTGATGATTTTTAATGTTTTTTTAACAAAATATTGTTAACCATACCTAATAATTTTAATGCAGTGATATTGTGGACACTAATTTTATTTTATTTTGGAGAATTAATGCTGGTGTGAGTTTATTAATAATTTGTAATAATTGCATTAAAAAAAACTATTAGTATTAGGCCATTTTTTAAATGTATTGATTGTGTTTGAGCACTATTTAATTCTATTAAAAAGAATATTTATTTTCTTACCAAATGTAAAAAAGTAAATTTATTTTGTTAAAATAATTGATTTTATCGTGAATGATTCTAACTTTTAAATATGCTTCATTATGACAATATTTTTTATTGCTTTAAGCTTATTTAAAATAAATATAGTATTATAATTTATAATTCTTTTAACATCTTATTGCAGACTAGATTAGTTTAGTACAATTATACCTAATATATACAATGGAATCTAAACTTCCTGTTCATATTTGACTTATAAATAAAAAAAAGAATTATTGAAAAAAAAAGTGATATATATTTATGGGCTGAAGATTGACAAAAATGATACTTTATTTTTGAAAAACACTAAATTTGAAAAAATAGCAATTTTTTTTTTTAATGTTATAGGTAATTCAATAAACTTACAAGTTTTACGGTGAAATTTTTTTCTTAAAGAAATAAATCTCTTTTAAAAAAAACCCGGCAAATCCTCACCAAAACCCTATTCTTCTCAGCCAAAACAGATCCAAATGGCTTCTCAGCAAATCCTACGTTGCCGCCTCCCTTAGAATCCTCAGGACTCGTCCCCATAACTTTACCCCTCCAGCCTTCGCCTCCGCTCTGTCGCTCAACCGTTCCTGCTTACTCTCCTTCGCCACCCCCGAGGAAGCTGCGGCCGAGCGGCCGCCGCCGAAAACGCCGCCTCCGCATCGAACCCCCTCTCTCTTCCCACCGCCACCGAAGCTTCACCCCGTCGTCCTCCCCCCCCACCCCCTCACCCAAAGAATGCAACCCTAATGCCCCCAAGCTCGCGAACCCGTCACTTTCCCTTGCAGGCAACCGTCTCAATCTCCAACAACCGCATCCTAACCCTAATCCGTGAGAACGATCTTGATGAGGCGTCCCTTCTCGTACGCCACTCCATCTACTCAAACTGCCGGCCCACAATCTTACTTGCAATGCCGTGCTCGCCGCCCTCCTCCGCCAATGCCGCTACTCGGACCCTCCTCTCTCTCCACCGCTTCATCACTCAGGCCAGCGTCGCCCCGCACCGTCATCACCCATAAACCTTCTCCTCCAGCTACTGCGACGCCGCAAAAAACCGACACTAGCCCTGGAGCATTACCGACTTTTTGTCAAAGAAGATTTCCTCACTAAGATCCCTCGCCCAGCACTATCGGATCCTTGTAAGGTCTCGTTGCATAAACAACAAGGTAGATCAAGGCTGTACATCTCAGAATGACATAGCTTGGTAAGGCAAACTGCCCTCCGTGATTGCTATTGTTTTAATCATCTCATGACTGGTTTTATTAGGAAATGATGAGCCAGATCGTGTTTCTTGAAGTTGGTCGAAGAACTCAAGGAGAAGCTTGTGTGGCTGTGGAGATATTAATATGTGGATGTATTGTGTATGGGATCTATGAAGGGTAATTTCAAGAAGGCGGATGGCGCAGGAGGCCATTGATTTGTTTGAACGAGTTCTTGCGAGATGGTTCCAAAGTAAGGTTTGGCCCCGTGGAGCTATAATTTGGTGTCTTGCATGCATTGACAAAGAACGGCCGATTGGATTGAGGCTATTTGGATTGTTTTGAAAGGATGATGAGGGAGCATGATCCACCGAAGAGGATGCAGTGAATTAGGAAGTTTTAATTGTGCATGGTGGATGGCTTTTGCTTAGCTGGACGGTTTGAGGAAGCTATACAGGTTTTTAAGAGAAGGATGGGAGAAGAAATTGCACCCCGATGTTTTGTCCTATAATAATTTGATAGATCACCTTGGGGAAGGAATGGTTTGGTTACTGAGGCTGAAGATCTTATAAGGAAATGGGGTGAGAAGGTTTCAATCCGGATGAATTACACATATGTTTTGTTGGTAGATCTTGTTTTGAGGTTGGAAGACCAGATGATGCTGTTAATTACTTCAGAAGATTGGCGTGGAGTTTGGTTTGAGCCAAATGCTAATGCATAAATAAGGTTATTGGCGGATTGGCTAACATTCAAGGGCTTGACGAGGCTCGAGTATTCTTGGATCGCATTGTTGAAAGGGAGTAAAGCCAAATGTGAGGAGTATGAGATATTGGTGAGTCCTTTTGTATCAGGCCTGCAAGGCTTGATATGCACTCAAGGCATTGGAAGGATTTGTTGAGGATGATGTATCTGAGTCTGGAAATGAAGGAGCTTGTGTTGGGAGGCATTAAGGAGAATCGAGAGAGGCAGGATTTCGGGAGCTAACTTGAAGATGTTGAGAGTGAAGAAAAGCTTGAGGTGCAGCCGGGCCGCGGAGAGAAGCAAGAGCTGAGGCTTCTTGCCAGGAAGAGGAGGAGAGGAAAAAGGCGGAGAAAGCTGCTAAAGAGGCTGCTGCTGCTATGAGCAAGTGCTGCAGCTATAACAATATGGGGAAAAAAGAGTCTACTATAGCATCGAAAGAGGAGAATCTTCTTCCAAGTGTTGTTCCTGTCCACAACTGCCAAAAAAAAGGTTGGGAGACTGTGATTCCATCCAATGAAGGATTCCATCAAAGAAGTGATAGTTGACAACATTTTAACCGTGGTGAAAAATGAAATTGAGGTGCTACTTAGCCAGGTAAACTATCATAAATCGCATTTAATTGAACAAACTTATTTTCACTGGAATTGATTGTTTGTGCTAATAGTTTAAGTTGCTATTGCAGATATAGGTTTTATTGACACTATATATGTTAATGTTCTATATCATCATTATCGTTAATCATTTCATCATTGAATTTTTTTGATATTTAGAGTTATTTTATGAATTATCGTTTTTCATTCTATGTTATATGAATTATTTTGGCGAACTAATATCTGCTAACATTTTGATCAAACTCTATCCTTATTACATTTGGTTTAATTTTTTTCCCACTCTATCCTTCACCTTTATTTTTTTATCAACTATCTTAAAGGTGCATCTTCTCACATTTTATTGTATATGTTTGCGGAAGATTAAATTTATCTGATGATTACTCTACTTCAAAGACTTACCCTCTATGGCTCTAATGTAATTATTCTTCAAAAGTGTTCTTCTAGTTTTATCACATTCATTTATATTATTATTTCCTCCTTGCTCAACTAGCCATCAATAAACTTCTGAATTGCTTAATAAATAAGATACATACAGTATGACTGGCCTTATTATATTTTTATAAAAAATAACTTCAATTACATTGAGATTCTCTTATTGGCCATAAAATGCTCGAGATGCTTCTTTTGGATCTATTCATTCCAATATAATAAATATTTTTCCATATATTCATTAACTATATAAATTTAATATCTTTGTTTATACTCTCATATTCCATATTATAAATCATACATATTTAAATTTATGATATTTGTATATCATTTCGTATTTTGCTGAGTATTATGATGTTATGCCTTGCGTAATTGAAAAACAGCAACAAAGCTTCAAGAGATTCAGACAACAAAAAATATTTTTTTATTGATAGAAAATCAAATACGAACAAAGCAAGATCAATGTTCTCTTTTGAGAGGCTTCTCTCCCCAAAACCCTAGATGCTGCCAAGTTCCCTCAAAAAAAAAAAAAACAAAGCACTTCTCAAATTAAATTTCTCTATACAAGCATAACATAAATTTTGCTACTTATTAGAACAATAAAATAATAAATTCCAAAACAAACTTCTCCCCAATTTCCTCTCAAATCAGGCCCGTAATTCAGCTCCCAAATCAGCCATCTCTAATTAGGAAAATCTCCTAATTAATATCCTCAATTCAATCCCCCAAATCCAGTCCAAATTTGATTTTTTTTTAATCAGGAAATGTCTCCTAATTAATCTCCTTCAAATTTAGCCCTTTTTTAATTAGAAAGATATCTTCTAATTAATCCCTTCCTTAATTCCTCTTCTCACATATGTAATGAATAGATTTAATGGGCCTTGCAAGGGTTTGAATTGCCCTCTCCGCGTATTAATGCTCCCCTCCCCAAAATTTGCACCTTGTCCTCTGGTGAAGGCTAGGGAACTGTCTTCCTATTACCTCGTATGGCTCCCATGTGGCATCATTACTGGCAGATCTAATCCACTGATTAACACTTTTGTCCTTTGTCTCCCCTTGTATGCCACTACCCGCTACTTCCAAGGGTTCCAAAATGACATCCATGTCCTCTGTCCAAAGTCAAGGGAAGAGATGATCGGTGCTCTCCCTATTGCCTTCCTCAGCTTTGAGACATAAAGGGCTGTGCAAAGATGATGAAGGTGATAGGCCTTTCAATCGAATAAGCTACTACTACAATACGCTTTATGACCCTCATTAAGGCCCAAAAGTATCGTGAGGGATAATTTCTCATTCCTTCATTTTGCTTAGTGTTTCTATCTGTAGGGCCTCAATTTTTAAGTAAATCATATCTCTGGTTCGAAGTTTACTTCTCTCATTGCTCATTCAGCCTTTCTTCCATGATATTGTGGGTTATGAGCAAATGTCACTTAGCTTAGATAATATCTGTCCCTTTCCTTTTTAAGTACTACTCGATGCTGGACATGAGTTGCAACGCTATACCCATAAAATTAGATGGGGAAATCTCTCCCACAGAGAAATCCTAAAAAGAGTGGTCTTTTACTGTTGACAGATATTGAGGTATTGTACCAATATTCAGCTCATGCAATCAGCCTTGCCCAACTTTTGACGTGTATTATTACAAAGCATCTCAAATAGGCTCTATGCTTATGTTGTTTCACGTTTCTATTTGACATTTGTCTGGAGGATGGCTATGATGCGCTTCTCTTCAGGATTGTTGATGGGGACATCACAGCGATTTCGACACCATGCACCTTCAGGATGATGCCGGAGATCGACGGCCACGATCATGATTGTATTTTTATCGATTTATATAGTAGTTTATTTTTATTTTATGTTTTTCGTTTTTACCCCTATGGTATTTGAGCATTGCTATCCCAAGGGGCATTTTTAGTAACCTTTACTTTCTTTGTCATTTTTGAGGCCTATTTATATGACCATTTTTCTCATGTAATTAGTTTTGATGAAATGAAAATTTACTTGTGTTTCTCTTTGTGAGTGCCTCCACCCTCCTCGATCTCTTAGTGAGTTCGTAGGAGAAGACTAGGATCTCTTTGTGAGTTCTAGATCTTCTTGTTCTACCTTTTTCTTCCTTTATTTTTTTTGTCATCGATTCATCGTCGTGGAGATCCGCGTTGAAGCATTTTTGGAAGAAGTGGAATTCTAACGATTGAATCCCAAGATTTTCCCCTACTAATTTCCCCCTCTTTCTCACTGCCGCCGCCCCTCCCTGCGCTTGCCCGAGGCCGCCGGCCTGCAGCCCCACCCGCCGCCAGCCAACCCACCGTCCAGCCCAACCCTCCGGCCAACTCCCTGCCGGCCAGCCCCCCCATACCCCCATCCCGCCCCTCTCTGGAAATTGTAATTTGAATTTCAATTTTCTTGAGCTTAATTACCTTCCTTAAATGTGTCCTGAATTAAGCAATTGTCTTTTAATTGATTTCAAAGCAAGTTTGAAATTCAAACAATTGCTTGATTTCTCCCACCCGTGAAAAGGAGGTTTCCTAATCTGTTTATACAGATTTTATTAAATCTGCCAATTCAATTATCTTGGCCCCAC